CGTTTAATAGCAAGAAATTATATTTATGCAAGAAATTTTGCCCTCTCAGCAAAAGGAATAGAGAACCTATTTTATTAGAGATGTGACAAACCCACATTTTCAATAGTTCTGTGACAAACATGTAATTGGTCTTGGTATTTGCTGACCACAGAATAGAATAAATCTTAATGAAAGAAAGCAATCTGGGCAGCAAAACACAGTTTTGCCAGTACAGAAGAACCACAGGGAAAGACCAGCAGGAGTGAGTCTAAAGTAATGTAGGGATGACTGGGTAAGGAGATGTAGTCATTACATTCTGGGGCTGCATAAAGATGCCCCCAGAGTACACTTCACATAACAGTTAAGACACTAATGATTCCGATTTTCTTCTCTTTTCCTTCAAAAATATCATTACAAGAAGAATAACGTTACTTATGTGAGAAGATGCAATCGTTAATATCAATACACTGTAAAGGTATTTTTTTAAACATCTGACCAACTGCCAAAAAGCTACAATATTTGAAAAGTATAATGTACGTCTACTTTGGATTTTATTCTTAAAGTTTAGCAAAATATAGTAAACGTAGCCCAGTAGGTCTGCGGTTAGTATGACTGGTATGTCGTTTCACCAATGAAACAAGTTAAGAAGCTTTTTAACTAGTAACTGGAAGACTTATGTGATAGTATTACAATTTGAACTCTTCGGCACCTTTGCAAAATGCAACTGCTTTGTTTCAGAAGGTTTTATCTGTACAGCAGATCATTCCCAAGGCAAGTCCCAAAGGTTAAAACTGTTAATATAAAAAAAAGAGAGAGACAAAACTCCTAATAAAGTCTAATTTTGAAATTCTTGCTTCAGCTGAGTAACATGATCCTGCATAATAAGAGTCATCTGTGACTGTTTGGGAAGTAACTATAAGTTAGAAGATATTTTAAAGCCTTGTTCGCTACTCAATATTTAAAATGGCAAGTTGTCTTTGTGGTACCAAGCGTGTTTACCACACTAGTTTTATTAATCTTGCTAACATAAGAAGACTGAAAGCAGTAAGTTATCCAGTGAAAGTTCAAGCTAGTTTAAAGGAAGGAAACAGTTAATTAACTCTAACCCTTAGAGCATCTACAACAAGTACGTGGTGATCAGATCAAGCAAAACAGTTCAAATATTAGTGGAGCAGTAAATTGTGGCTACATGACGTAAGTCATGAGACTTCTTTATTTTCTTGTGATCCCAAACAAGCCCAACCATTACTTTAGACCACAATCCACAACCTCTCTCACATACGAGCTGCACGTACAACCTCATATATATGTATACAAATTTATCCAATCTGTGTCGAAGAAATAACCAATCAGTTGTTGACACCATATTAAATCAACATCTTTCACTAGCTCCAAATGAAGAGTTACAGTACACAGTTACACAACACCAGCATAAATAGTGAATTGGAGATCAGATGCCAAGTTTTCCTGGGAAAAGATCCTCCAGAGTAGGCTGATAATCATGTAACAAATCATAAACAAACTAAATCCTCTCATCAACTGTACCTTAACATTTTTGGGGGGAAGGAGAGAGAACCTGTTGAGAATGGTACATCCACATACTCTTGAGAGTAAGCTCTCATCACCCACCTTGTCTCAATGAGGTAAGCAGTGTATGTTTCTTGCATGTTCATGGCATTCCTCCCAGTCCGTTTTTCGGCTTCTGAAACAGTGATTTCCATTTTTTTTGCCAAACAGTCTTCCATCTTTTTAGAGGAGGAAAATACAGACTCATGTAACATTAGCCACACAAGGTAAAGGCTACTAACCCTGCCTCCCCTTCTCTCACACCACATTTGTTCAAATAAGACAGGTCTCTGTAGAATAAAGGTTTTGGCAGGGCTTCGTTTTATACCCATGTTCTGCATAACATTTGCAAATGAAAACTGAAAACCTGCTTTTGGGGAAAAAAAAAAAAAACAAACACCAAAGTCCACAAATAAGACAACTTTGGATACCAAAATGAACCAGGAAGACACAGAAAGAAGAAATATTTTTCCTTACAAGTAACAAAGTAACTTTAAAAAAAAAAAACCAAACAAACAAACCCCTGCACTTTCTATCCAAACACTTCCCAAATAGCAGCGAATTCCTCCTCAGGACACCTGGGACACACATAACCACCTCTCCCCTTTCACAGGAAACAGAATACATCCGGACCGAGATGTTTTTCTTTTAATCTCTCAGAGGAGGATCGTTATCTTTTACACATTGGCGGGCAGAAGTCAGTCGGGACCACAGGCCCACCCTGAAAAGGCAGAGCTCTAGGAGCCTCCAGCTAAATTCAGCAGGGAGGGGGGTTTACTTGTGAAACTGGGGGGGGGGAACAACGACACACCAAACTCAGAAATTAATAAAAATAAGTCACAAGGGACGAGGGCTGACGGCACGCAAAGCCCTCCAACAGCGGCCAGAGAGGAACTGGAAGGAGGATAACCCCCACTGCTCGGAGGGACGGGCTTCGCTGCACAGCTCAGCCGCGAACTCCCCCGGGCAGGGGCTTGGCCCCGGGCAGGCAGAAGGAAGATTCGTCCCACCTGTAGCCCCTTCCCACCACCGCCCGGCTCCGGCCTCCCCGCG